CGTGTTTTTTTCGTCCGTTTCTTTTTTGGTGATTTTCCGATTTTCCCTTTTTTTGCCATTTCTCCGTTTTTCGTTTTTTCTCCGTTTTTCCTTTTTTTTGGCTGTCTCTTTTTTCGCCTTTTTTTCTCCCGTCTTTTTTCCCTATTTTTTCGTCTTATTCTTGTCGCCCTTTCTTTCTATCCGTCTTTTTTTCCGCTGACTTTTTTTCTTTTTCATCCTTTTTTCATTATTTTTTAATGTCGTGTTAAGTGTTCTTTAACATGCGTAAGAGTACGTGCACATGCAGTAAGGATTTGTTCTTTATTTGCATGAATTTTCCGCCGTCTGGCTGGTAAGGATTGTTTTTTATCTGCTCAGTTTTTTCGTCACCGGACGAAACCCTAACGTCGCCGCTATGTCGATCTACTTCCTCATACGTTCTTTCCTCCAATTGATTGCAAAAGTCGATTCCCCACTACTCCCTCATCATTTCCCCACATGATTTTCCCTTTCAATTCCGCTTTAATTTATTGGATTTAATCACCATTTAAAAGTCACCATTCTATCCGAGTTTTCCAGATTCGTTTCGATTTTGATAAAACCGGAAAGAGGAGATTGAGTATATCAAAAGCCCTCAACCAATTGCAGATCCGTTTCGATTTTGATGAAAACAAAAGGAGGAGATTGAGTATATCAAAAGCCCTCAACCAATTACAGATCCGTTTCGATTTTGATAAAAACAAAAAGAGGAGGTTGAGTGTATCAAAACGCCTTAACCAATTTTGGGAAATCGAGAAATATTCAACCGGATTTGATAGGAATGATCAGTTCTGGTATCGTACGGACATAGAACTGTCTTCCGGAGGTTGGATACGACAGCCGACCATGCGAGCTGAGCCTACAGCTCCACTTGTGGGCTACATCAAAGATAGGCAAGTAGAGAAAGATAGCGGGGTGGGTTGGGACTGAAAAGTGTATAGCAATAAAAAATATTTTACCCGTTGCAACGCACGGGCATTTTTTCTAGTTAGGTGGATGTATGGACGGCCCATCCAATAATCCTCACGGTCGCATGCCCCCTTGCGTCCAAAACCGCGTTGCCTGTCAGCGACGCCTGTCTTCCTTCGATAGAAGCCAGCAGGTGTAAAGGAAGCCAATCTGTTTCCACAGCAAAGACCTAGAAACACCTCCTGCCGTCTTGCTATCTCCACGTAAATCTCCCCATCTGACCATCTTCCTGCACAATGAAACCATTGTCTGGCGTATGTTTTTGAGTGACTGACGGAGGCTTCATGGCTTTAATCACCATCATTGCATTCCATCCCAACCCTCCACGGATCCTAATTACTGTTCCATTCCCAATTCTTCCACATGCTTTCCTATCCCTCTCGAACACATCGATATGTGGATGACTATTGATCCTCTTCCACCAACCAAGAAATCATGTTTGGATTTTACTAGAGAGATGTACTGTCAAAACATTTTGTGTTCTCAGTTTGATCAAAGGCGCGAGTATAATCTCCAAGTAATTCTACGTGACCATAAGTTTGTATTATCTGTGTGCTTGGTTTTCTATGAATCATGATATGATACAGTACAATGGAATAGATCAATTGACCAGGTTAGCAGCGTACAGGTATGCAGTATACATATTGCTACTTGCAACCCCTTTTTTGCTACTTACTACAGCTACATTTATACCGAAGCTTGCATGTACGGTTTCAATATAAACACTGTAAAGGATAATCGTACGTATCTCAGATCTGAATATAGATGTAACTAAAATTATGATTTTGAGAAGGCACTTAATTTCCCATTTCATCATTGTTTGAGTCAAAAAAATTTATGTATTAAGTCATCTATTAAACCCGCAGCAACGCAGCGGGGTACGTACTAGTTACCTAATGGTCATTCCAGAGGTTCTCAGGAATCAACCGTTCCAGCAAGGCCAAAGCATACTGTTTATGGTGTTTTGGGAGCTTTGTAGCAGCTATGAGATCAACGCGGGGAATCCTCATGACTCCTCCTTGATGAACCACGTGATCAGCACATAGGAAACGGTGAGGATTAGGGTTGGTGTTCGCCATTGCAGCAAGCGATGGCAGCGAAGCTAGATTGGATTGGGGTTTTTCTGTAACAGGAGGGGAAGAAACTGGAGCGTCTATCAGAGAAGAAGGTAATTTTTTGGCACCCATATTAACGAAGTCCTTTTCACATCAGAGTTAATATAGCCTTAACCACCTCTCCTTTACCAGATAGAGTGGGCTTTAGGGGCTTTGGTAACCAGAGTTATTGGACTTGAGACTAGCAGAGTGGGCTTTAACACAAGGAAAAAGTACACCAAATGTCCCTCAACTTGTCATCGAGTCACAAAATCGTCCCCTAACCGCAAAACCGGATACAACACATCTCCCAACTTATAAAACCAGTGCAAACTAGATCCCTCGGTGGTTTTAACCCCAGTTTTATCCCACGTGGCAGCTGAGTCACTGTAGGACCCATGTGGGCCCCACATGTCAGGGTGCCACGTCAGCATCTACTCTCTTTCCCCCTCTTCTATTTCTCTATTTCTCTCCTTCCTTCCTCCCTCTCGCTTTGTGCTCTCGCACCGGTAGCGCGCGCGGCCGGAGGGTGGTGTGACCGACAACAGCGGCTCCCGGGTGGCGGTGCGCGGGCTCAGGGTGGAGCAAGCTCGCTGGCATCCCCGTCCCACTCGTGCGGTCGGCGATGGTGGCGTGCGGCTATGGCCATCATCACCAAGATCGACTCGACGACGCCGCCATCAAGTCGTTGCCGTTGGCGATGGCGGCGCGACGCTGCGGCTGGCAGGTGAGGCGCGGACATGTCCTCGCCCTCGTCATCAACGTCGACACCGATGACGAGGTCCGTGCCGCTCACCAGCTCGCACGCCTCGTCGTTGTCGACGCTCGCCACCTCGGTCCGGTCCGGCCGCTTCCCGTCGCACAAAGAGTGGATAAGAAGAGGAAACAAAGAGCTCGGTCCGGTGGCGCAGTGACTGTGGCTGACATAGCCTATCAGAGGAGTCCTCCGTCTGTGCATGGAGCCGCCGACGACGATGAGGCCGAGTGGCGCCGGAGTCGTCGGCGTCGCCGCTCCCCATCCATAGCTGCACTCGCCTACCGCCACCGCGGCCTCTCCGCCATCGCGCTCGCCCGCCGACACCGTCTCGCCGTGCCGTTACCATCCCCTTCTCCCGTGTCTCCGCCGCCACATCACCGCCGAGCTTGCTGTCCTTGGAGAAGACGCTCGACAAGCTACGGAGGATGAGGTAGACCAGCGCCTGCACCAGCACGAACATGGCCGATCTGCTCCTCTACACGTGCGCCGCCTGTGCGTGCTCCTCCTCGCGTTCGCCGGGTGGGGAGCCGTCCGATCGATCTCCTCTTCGCCGCTCCTTCCCTGTCGGCCGCGCTGACCCTCTTCCCCGCCATGTCGGTGACGCCGCCGCCGCCTCATCGGCCCTTGGCCCACATCCCCTGGGAAATAGGTTTGATTGATTGCAGCGGAGCCATATTAAAGGGATCAGGCATGCTTGGCACAGCTCCAGCTCCACATCCCGTTCATTTCTCTAACAAGAGTTGGATGAAATTTTGGATTTTCATGGCACGCTTTTCAAACTGCTAAACGATGCGTTTCGTGCGAAAAATTTTTATATGAAATTGCTCTAAAATATCATATTAATCTATTTTTCAAGATTGTAATAATTAAAACTCAATTAATCATACGTTAATACCACCTCGTTTGTGTAAAAAACTCAATCTTCATCTTTAGGGGAAAAGAACACCAGCTCAGCCAAATAGTTTCAGCTCCATCTAAAATGGGAGCAGAGTTAGGTGGACCTCTCTCACAAAATGAACTAGAGAGTTGGAGCTAGGTTTAGGCTGCTCCACAACTCCACTCCAGACTCAACTCCTAGAACCCACCACTATTTAAGAAAATCTTACCTTCTATACGTGCACTTTCAGTGAGACTTATCATCTCTTACTATAAAGTTAGAGCTCACTAAGTCTAAAGCTCAACATGCAAACATGACGGCCTCATCATCCACTAGCAATAACTACTTATCAAAAAGCTCATGCAAACATGCAATACCATCCATAATTTATTTAATTCTACAAATCAAAATGCAAATAGATCCAATCATAACCTCTCTTATCATTAGTTTCCACAATATTTCAACAAATATATCCATCATTTTCATAATACTTAGCGTACATTCATCTATATATTCCGTATCAAAGTAGAGATATTATTTAGTTTATTTCATGTGTACTGCTAATAAATCCTAGCTTTTCATTTCTTTTTCCCCTATCTTTCGCTTCTTGCGATACTGGCCAACAACCTAAATTTTATCTATAATCTTCTACAAAGTCTATTAAATTTATTTATCTTCAAACATGGCTTGACAAATCAGTTTTATTTGTTGTTAATAATTAACATCATGCTTACTCCTTGTTCGATTGTTGAAAAAAAACATATATTAAAAATTACTTAGTAATTTCCGCAGCAAAGTGCGAGGAATCACCTAGTAATATATATGTATGTGTATGGTGTACTTTTAGTGAGACTTTACGTAATACTCCCTCCATCCCAGAAAGGAGGACGTTCTAGGTTAGTTAGGAAAAATTAGTGTTGTGTGAAAATGACCATTTTGCCCTCAATTTATAGGATTGGGGCTAATCATTTGAATGCTTAGTAGGAGTACGACAAGTACACTGCCACATCTGTACAAAAGGAATATTTGAAGCATCCAATTAATGCTGGGTGCTACTACTAGTATCAACACTACAGATTGGTGTTATACACCTAATTCGAGTGATATGGCGCCAAAACATAAGGGCTTAAAATAATCCAACCGGTCTAATCAAATTCAAAAACTCCATGGATGGTGCTTTGCCGCCCAAGGGTACCCTCCATAATCCTCAAGCAGCGAGGCAGCTACAAGCCTTTTATCACTTCATCCATCATCCTACAAACCAACTCCACACCCACCCATCACAATGGCTATAGATCTAAACATATTAGCAGAAGAAGAGGAAGATGGAGGGGCTTTACCTGACCTCAATGAAGCACAAGCCAATCTAGAAGAAGAAGTTCCTGGAAGGCATGTTATCCAGGTAGATGACCTTGCTCGAGTTGCTTGCCATGGAAATGATCAAGTTGTACATTCTTTTGATCTCAACTTGGGAGCTTTTGATCTCAACTTGGAAGCAACAGAAGAACAAGAACAACTGCATCCAGGTTTTTTACTTCATCTAATCTTTCTCAATGCATAAAATGGGTTCTTTCTCAGTGCATGTTGATTGCATTAGTAAATCTGGCTCTAAAAAACTATGGTGTTGTATGACATGCAACAGCAGATTATACCCCCTCATCAACACACATGCTCTATCTCTCTCTCTCTCTCTTTCTCACACACACACACGATCTGAAAAGAACAAAAGGTTGCTACTGTGACAGTTTTGCAGAGTTTAGTTCTTCTAGTTCCATTATCATGTATCAGAAGACACTTTAGAAACTAGACAACAGGTGTAGTAATCATAGAGAGTAAAACTCAAGACATGTCACTATGGTTTCAAACAGATTAAAGCATTGGCAAACAAATAGATTAGATTTCAGAGCCTAGTATGAAATTTTAGTTCACATCTAACCATTTCTTTTCAGAATCCTAGAGCATATGGACTTTACAGAAGATAGAGAAAACAAATGAACTGTAAATAGCACATTGTTACCTAACATCGAATTAGGGAGGAAGTAACTTTGGTCATGGCCACAGCATGTTGGAAGAATTAACAGGCACAACCTATTGGTGAGCAGAACGATGTCAAGATTTACTAACTGATTTTGTTAATTGCTAGTACAAAGAACCAATTTATTGCCAAGAACCCACACGTCTTGCCAAATTTTAGTATTTAATATTCATCAACAAATCACGTGTTTATGATGCGAAATATTGAATCATGCTTAGATGGTCACAAACTTGTGAAATTTGAATTGTGAAGCATCCTTAACTCCAGCTCCCAGTCCCAGACACAATATTCCTGTTGACTTGCTACTGAAAATAAGCAAGAACTGAATTAAGTACCTGAAAAAAATTACTTGTACAGCACTAGAACTTAAATAGAGCTAGAGGTAGAATTAAATACATAACTGAATTAGCATGACAATAAATCAATGCTACCTTACGAACAGATTTATGAATAAGTCATGGATCTTGATATGGAAATATGGAAGAGTTAGTACTATTGTAAACTACAGTTATGAGTCATGACATTGCAAATCCTAAACATATTCAATATTCTTTGTGCGGCACTGACTAGCAAGTAGTTTTTTTTAGACAATTATCAGCAAGACATGGAGCATGACCTGGATATGCATGCAAATGGAAATGAGGAACAAGAAATTCAACTGGGTAAAAGTTCATTACTTTTTGATCAGTTACAAACATGTTTACATTCTTGATTTTAGGACTGAATAAATCTACACAATCTGATTAACATACATTAACTTACCATGTAAAATTTTTTGTAGACAATGACAATGAATTGCAACATGAGCTGGAAGCCTTGGAGGATGATCTTCGGGACTATGGCGTGTATATAGATACTGTCAATGTTGTCTTTGATAGAGAGGAGTTGTCGGACTCAGAAGAAGAAGAAGATGCAAATCCAAATCCAAATCCAAATCCAGATGCAAATGGAAATGAGGAAAACAGTTCTACAGAATTGACAAACCCACAAAGGCAAAGAATTTATGAATTGTTGCTTGCAAAAAGTAAGGATGGAAAACTAGAAAAAGACACCACACGTGCAGTTGCTCAAGTGTTCATTGTCAGCATCCGTACAGTCCAGCGTATTTGGAAGAGAGCAAAGCTTTGCATCGCACATGGAGTACAAGTTAATGTTGACTCGAGGAAGCGTTACAATTGTGGCCGCAAAAAGGTTGTAATAGACTTGTCGGTTGTATCAGCTATTCCATTGCGCCAAAGAAGCACTATACGGTCACTTGCTGAAGCCCTAGGTATGTTCAAAGAAGGGCATCTACGACGTCACTCTAACTCACTAAAGCCTTCTTTGAAGGAAGCAAACAAAAAAGAAAGGCTGCAGTGGTGTGTTGGTATGCTAGATCATCGTACGTTACCAAACGACCCCAAGTTTATTGAAATGGAAAACATTGTCCATATAGATGAAAAATGGTTCAATGCCACCAAAAAGAACAGGACTTTCTACCTGCATCCCCTTGAGGAGGAACACTATAGACCTGTCCAAAATAAGAATGCAATTGAGAAAGTAATGTTTCTATCAGCAGTTGCGAGGCCTAGGTATGATGCTGAAGGCAATTGTACTTTTGATGGTAAGATAGGCATTTGGCCTTTTGTTAGAAAGGTAACACAACCTTCTTATACAAGTGTTATTTACTTCTGTTTTTTATGTTTAAACCTAGCCTATTTGATTTACTAACAGGAACCCGCACAAAGGAGAAGCCATAATAGAGAGAGGGGGACACTTGTAACAAAGACAATTAAGGTTGATAGAGACACTATGAGATCATTTATGATCTCTAAAGTTCTCCCAGCTATTAGAGCAGGTTGGCCTCTAGAAGATGCAAGAAGAACAATATTTATTCAACAAGACAATGCTAGAACTCATGTACCAATTGACGATGAGCAGTTCAGTGTTGCAGTAGCTCAAATGGGGCTTGATATTCGCCTCGTGAATCAACCTCCCAATTCCCCCGATATGAATTGTCTAGATCTTGGCTTCTTTGCATCACTTCAGTCCTTAACTGCTAATAGGGTGTCTAAAAACATGGAGGAGCTAATAGAGAATGTTCAGAAGGAATATAATGACTACGATCCAAAGACTCTGAATAGAGTATTCGTGACACTACAAAGCTACTGCATTGAAGTAATGGAAGCTAATGGAGGGAATAAGTACAAGATCCCTCACATGAACAAAGCGAGGCTAGAGGCATTCGCTGTGATCGTCAGTTGTATGAGAAAGTCATACAACTTCTAGGCAACTAATTGTGCACTTGTGTCATAATATGTACTTTTGTCATCTATGTACATGTGTCGTCTATGTAATTGTGGAAACTAAATATATAATATGTTTGCTTGTATGAATGTTTTATCCTAGGTTCTATTAACAAGTTGATTGTCCATATGCACAATAAAAAAAACAAGCACTAGTATTTCATAGAGATGCATGACATTTCAATAAGATGTTGAATAACCATATATTCCAAAAGATGTCACCAAACAGAACCACATAATATATAACATGATAGGATGCCACTATGCAGCTGACTAATTATGAGTTCGTACTTCGGACTAACAACAAGAAGTACGTAGACGACACACTATTCATGTCACTTAATCAACACACTACTTTTTTTTACTTGGAAACACTCGGTGTAACCTGGGATCAGTAGACGTAGCATTTCCAACTTCGTGTCATCAATGAGCTCGTATTCTTCCTCCTGTGAATCAACCCAAAGGTCCACGCCTACAAACTGACCATCACCATTTTCTTTGTCGCTCGGCATCTTCTCCTCGCTGGGTATCTCCTCCTCGTTGGGCATAAATTGGATGGACACCTCCTGAACATATATGAAAACAAATCAAAATTGGAAGCTACAGAAATTTAATAATAGTAATCAATACATTGTATGCCGAGTGCTTGCACAAGATCATATATTTTGTTCGTGTGAAATATTCATGTCAAGCACCTATTTTCAAGAATTTCCTTAGTTTATCACTTTGGAACCATTCATAGTCTTTTCTAGTTCATATGAAGGTGTAGACATCCTGACTGCTATTCCTGCTTTTATTTATAGTATTAGTTCATAAAAAAGATTAGATTACTTATTCTTTCTATATTGTTTATTATATTATTTTTAAGAAGGGCATTTTTGTGTTTGGCACATGTTTATAGATCCACTATACACTCGGTTTATTCTTGGTTGTTCAATTCCATTCCCCAATTCTGTGATTTGCAAATTGAATTGATGCTTCATGATCGGCTGACCAAACCATGCATTTATGCGTAATGGTACTACACCGGTTTGACAAAGTATGCAGTAAGAACTTCCTTAATGGAGTTAAAATGCAGTACTAAATTATGTATTACCAATAATTTTATTCAATGGAGTTAAAATGCTGAACTTCCTTTTCTCTGTTGCAGCCAGTTTCTGATGTTTAAGCACATGTCTAATAATTATAATATCTGGTCTACTAGGCAAGTTGCAGTATTGGAGAAGAAGAGGACTGAAAAGTATGAATTTCTATTTTTGTTACATACTTACAAAATCAGTAGGTGGCAGATAGAGACTATGTTCAGACTTCACAACACATTTTATTATCTTAGTTTTATAAAAGCTAAAATTAATAATAGTAATATTATGCGTTGCAAGACTCTTATCATGGCAAAACAATATTAAATGGAATGCAATAAAGATCCTGTGTGGTAACGGCTAGAACATTAGATGGTGCATGACTCTCCATTGAACAGATCAAGTCTTCCAGCTATATGGCACTATACTGCTTACTAACTTGTGGCTTTGGTTGCACATTACATAATGCATTAAAGTTAGAGTGATTAAATATCTATGGTTACCTAATTGTTACTAGCTAGAAGTATATGGATATATTATACATAGCAGGCTCCTCATGAGTTTATCTGTAAGTTTCCATAGTTATTAAATAATATATTTTCAATTTTTTATGCAAAGTTGACTCAAATAAATTAATAGCACACACCTTGCTCTGCTCGCTGATATTGGAGGACTCCACCACGAAGTGCTTGCTCGGTTCAGCACTGTGGTTGGCCATTGTCCCCTGCCACAGGTCACCTCCCTGCGGGTAAGAAGCATTCGACGAAAAGGATGCCTTGGTAATGGTAGAACTGGGTCGTCCCATGCCATAAGTCACATTGGAGCTCATCAGCTTGCCAATTTTACTGCCTCGCTTCTTCTCCATTGCAACACCATCGTGCATCTTTTTCTTGGGCACAACGTCAATGAACCAATCTTCAAATACGAAGTCGCCTCCTTCATTATCCAAATCAGGCCAGAACTCATACTCATCCATATCGGGCCCATCCTGGGTATCAAAGATCACATTCTTGCCTTCTTCTAAACATCGGCCAGATTCACGATGAAACCACTTGCCTCGAACCCGCTACCCGCACCACATCTGGGCAGGCTGTTTGCATTCATCATTTGAGTGCACTATGTTGCTGCCGCCACAAATCCCACCACCCTTCTCCACTTCCCCGCAATCCTGAATCTCACCACCATTCTCCTTCGCTTCCCCACAATCTTGAATCCCACCACCCTTCTCGTTCACCTCCCCACAATCCTGAATCCCACCACCCTTCTCGTTCACCTCCCCACAATCCTGAATCCCACCACCCTTCTCCTCCACTTCCCCACAATCCTGGAACTCAGTTTCGGGCACAAACTCCTGATCTGAGGAGAAGCAGTACTCGATGCCTTCATCATCAGAATCAGGGATGAACTCAATCTGGTCATCGTCGGACCCATCTTGTGTATCCAAAACAAAATTCTCACCTTCTTCCAATAATTGGCTAGATATTCGACAGTACCACATGCCTCGACGCCGTTTCTTACCGCACATCTGTCTGGCACTTCGCAACCTGCCGCTGTCATCACCGCCACAACCCAATCTCTTGCCGAAGCCGCTGCCCCTAGGGCCTCCACCTCCGCAGCCCCTAGGTTCGCCGCCGATGCAGCCCCTAGGGTTTGCGTCGCCATCGTCGAAGCCGCATCCCAATCTCTCGCCGAAGCCGCCGCCACCGCCACCCCTAGGGCTGCTGCTGTTGTAGCCCTTAGGGCCTCCGACATCACGGCCCCTACAGTTTCCGCCTCCATCATCACCTCCACAACCTGATCTCTCGCCAAAGCCAGCGCCGTAACCATCCCTACGGCCTCCACCGCCATAGCCCCTAGGTTCGCCGCCGCTGCAACCCCTAGGGTTTCCGTCATTGCTGCTGATGGCGCTCTCAGTGTTGCCGCGGCCGTTGAGCATGTTGTCGCACACCGGATATGGCTTGCTCGTCTGGGGGTGGGGGAGGGGAGGGGGGATGGATGGGGATTGGTGCGGTGTGCTGATGGGAGGGAAAAGCGGGGTGCTGGTTTGGAAGACGTGGCGTGGAAGGAGAAGAAAACGAGAGACGAGCGATGGGGAAGAAGAGAATACGAGAGGAGAGGATAAGGTAGCGCTTCAGAGCAAAAATCGTTTGGAGGAGAAAGAGTTCGCTACTGTTTTAGATGGCCCCACTTCTTTTTTTTATGTGTGCTTGTCTAGGAGTTTGCTAGTGCCTGCCAGGCTGCCAGCGTCAAGAATTATGGGACTTTTGGTTAGAAGCAGAACGTCCTCCTTTCTGGGATGGAGGGAGTATAATACTATGTGTTATATATGGTAATTAAGGAGAGCACATGGAAAGTGATGATTAAACCGGGATGAAGGGAGTATATATATGATAATTAAGAAGAGCACATCGAAGCTAACGAAGTAGATTATAAATAGGCGTGATTTTTAAAGAGAGCTTTTCTCTTATTGTTGGGTAGTGTCAATGCGTTGCAACGAGAAAACTAAAAAGAAACTCTATGATAACTAAAATGAGTTGTGCAAAACATCATATTGAACTTGTAAATTCAACATCAAACAATAGTAGTCCAGGTACGGGAATAATTCTAACATCGAACTATAACCCATCCTATAGTGTTAAACATCTTAAACCACCATCAAGAACATAACCTACATACGGTTAAAACCCGATTGTATAATCAAACCCAAAACTAAAATAAAAGTTCTCTGGGAGACGACCGCTCTGTCTGTCTTGTCGTGGTAGTAGGCGTTGGGTGCGAAGGTTTGCTGGATTGTTCAGCTACGCCATGATCACCTCGTCACGCCTTCCGATGTTGCGGGAGTTGGCATGGGCAGACAACAGCTATATACACTGATTGTAATTTCGGTTCGAAATTTCGGATCCCTCGGCAAGTGATTATCTGGTCGAAATTTTCGGTCTCTCTTTTTTTTTACGAATTTGGTCAAAATCAGCTAAATTATGTTAAAATTTCAAAAAATGGGGTCCAAAAAGTGCAGAAAACCGAAATTTCAGGAATTTTGGTAAAACCAAAATGGCCGAAAGAAACCGAAAACCCTGGCAATGCAACTAATTCCAGGCTAGATAAAAAAACATGGACACAGCTTGTTCATTGTGCTTAATTACCGTCCAATCTTTTGCATTACACTCTCTTGTTTTGCCTGCTGCATCATTAAACTCCGCAGCCGACTGCATCAAGAAATGGAAAAGAAGTCACAAGGCGATCAATGCAACTAGATACAGACGGTAAGAAAATAAGCAAATGCGACACACTAGTTAAGAAAGTCTGCACTGTTCTGTGGCTGTCTGTCTTAAGGCCTAATATTATATTTGCTTTCCAGCAGAAGAAACAGTAACAGTTTAGGCTGTAGTTTTTGATCCTGCAATCCCGATGTTCCTTCAAATCAAGCTATGATGTTTACAGTTGGTAATTGATTAGACCAAGAACTTAGCTAACCAAATTACTTAAGGTTATGTGCTGGCAAATCAGTAAAACTTTCACCAAATGAAAGGCTCTACTAGTTTAACTGTGCGAAAAGAAAAATGAATGTAATGAAAATTTAATTAAGAGGCAATGTCCAAGTATAGAAGAGGAGTACAGAAGAATAATTCCGAGTTATTGCTTGAATCACTATTTGCAGGATTGGCAGGGCATTCGATCAAATATGCTCATGTTACAACATAGCAAACCAATCGTCAAAGTCATTTAGCTAATAAAGATATGCTCTATTCCAATATGCTAACTGCTCAGCCATTTAACTATCCAGTTATCTGCTTGTTAATTCCTAAACAGTGGCTAAAGCAATTGAATGGATATTCCAACTGGTATTATTTTCATATTTGAACACATCACACAAATGGTAAATGTTTTTGTATCACAAATAAAAAAGAAAACATAGCAAACCTTGTGGTGTCGCCACCTTTCTTCAAGTAAGAGGGGAACCAGCTGGGGATGAAGTTATGGCCATAAAAATATTTCATGGGCGGGTATCTCTCATCACAACATCTTTCTTGCTCTTCTTCTTTTCCATTGATGAAGAGCTCTTCTTCTTCTTCACTGATGTAGAGGGTGGCTGGTGACAGCAGGATTTGGTTTCTCATGTCTACCTCAATCATCCAGTAAAGGCCATTGCCCTTGTCCTCGAGGAGGAAGTTGTTGGCCTTGTCGTAGAGGAGGAAGGAGATGGCAAATGGATTAGCCATGCTCACCAGGGGGAAAGTAGGCGGCGCATGTGGAAGGAGGGGCTGGTTTGCAGCAGAGCAAATATCCCAGAACTTGCCGGCTTCCATAGTGAAATCAAGAATCCATCTACTTTCGTGGATGTCGACCAGACACCATGACTCGATCTCGATGAAAGCAGAGCCAGCAGTGCTGTTGTTGTTGCGGCCTCCTGCTGCGGCATTGTCGTCGGCTATGCAGACAACCGTGATATTGCCAGCGCTGTTGATGGAGGCAGAACGAGCTGGATCAGGGCTGTACTTGTCAACGCGGCGGCGGCCATGCTTCGCCTCTGCCGGCAGCGGTATGTAGTTGAAGTAACGCTGGGTCTTGACGTCGATGAGGATGATGCCATGGTAGCAGTCGACGCAGGCGAGGTAGCTGTCGTGCAGGGGAAGAACGGCGTCGGTCCACCAACCTCTGAGGTGGTGGTTTTGGTTGGGTTGCTGCTGCATCTCCAGGATCTGGACCTTCCATTGGGGTTGTTGGGGGCAATCAGCATAGTGGTTGAGGACGCAGAGCTCGACGGCCTTACCCTTATGGATGTTGATGTCCGCCACCGTGAAATTGCCGGCGCCGTGGCAGAAGAAGCCGACGTTCTGCTCTACCATGACCCGCTGCTGCTGGCACCGGTGCGGCTTGAAGTGGCGGTCGACCTCCGGGGAGGAGAATCCACCGATGAAGCAAGGGGGCAGCCGCGTGAGCGATGGCCGCCGCAGCCCCTCGCCGGCGGTGTAGACGTAGTAGTCGACGGGGAATTGGCCCGGCGCGACGGTGCCGAGGTCGGCGAAGGGGACGCGCGCCGAGAGGAGGATGGATCCGCGGTGGGCGGCGATGGCCTCGGCGTCGCCCAGGTCGTAGACGCGCGGCCAGCCGGGGCGGTGGACGTAGAGGCGGGAGACGGCGGGGGGGTCGGCGACGCGGAGGGAGACGCGGATGGGGTGCCCGCTGCAGGTGTAGGCGACCTCCGACGACGTGGGGTCATCGTCGCCGCCGACGACGTCGTCGTCGTCGCTCCAGCAGCGGACAATGCGGTCCAGGACCATCCATCCATGCGCTTCCATGTCGCCACCGTGAGATGATCTAGGGTTTTGCCGGCCTCCACCCAGGGGACGGCGGCACGATGAGTAAAAGCTATGCATGCTAGCGTGTATACCTCTATCAATATCTCTACTATTATAAAAATTAAATTAAAAGATGTTTTTATCGATACTTTGATATATCATCCGTATATGAGTCGGTTTTTAAGTTCGTTCGCTTTTGGAAATACGTATCAGTATTTGAGTCGGTTTTTAAACGTTTTCGTTTTTGGAAATACAAAAGGAGTCGTATAAGAAATCCTTTTAACCAAAAAAAACTCGCATGCTAACTTAGATGACCGGACTACTAACTACAGCTCTAAAAATATATATAACCAAATGAATTCCCACAGTAAATTTTTCCTTAATTAAACCATATAATAATATTATTATTAAAATAGTCTTCATCCGTTGCAACGCACGCACAATTTTTGTAGTGTATATATATACACTCCGTCGACGCCGTTGACTTTTTTAAACATGTTTGATCGTTCGTCTTATTCAAACAATTTAAGTAATTATTAATTTTTTTCCCATCTAGTTCATTGTTAAATATACTTTTATATAAACATAGTCTTACATATTTTACAAGAGTTTTTAATAAGATGAATGGTCAAATATATGCTAAAAAGCCAACGGCGTTAAACGGGGGGTATATGCTTCAATCACGCGGTTCTTTTTGTGTTAGGAAACTGCCAGGCCTGGTAAGTGGCCTCGCTCTTACCAATCGGATCGGATATGCTCCTGCTCCATGGGGCTGTTGCATGGGTATGTTAATTAGGCCCTGTTTAGTTCCCAGAAAATATTTCCTAAAAAATATCATATCGAATATTTAAACACATGTATGGAGCATTAAATCTCTACTATTATAAAAATTAAAGATATTTTTGCTGGTACTTTGATACGTCATCCGTGTTTGAGTCGATTTTTAAGTCATTTGCTTTTGGAATTAATTTGTATTTGAGTAGGTTTTTAAATTCGTTTGCTTTTGAAAATATAGAAGGAGTCATATAAGAAATCTCTTTAAAAAATTTGCATGCTAACTTGAGATGATCAGACTCATAATTGTAGCTCATGATCTTGTAAAAAATTATATCCAAGCAAATTTCTATAGTGAATTCACTTTAGCTAAACCGTATAACAATAATAAGATTAAGATAGCATTCACCCATTACAACGCACGGGCATTTTTCTAGTATAGATAAAAAGAAAAACAAATTATACAGTTTATATGGAAATCGTCATGCAAAATCCCTTATATTATGGGACGGATGGTGTAATAAATAAGTAAGTACGGCATGATATCTTTAGGGGCTGTTTGGTTCTTAACTAACATTGCCATAACTCATTTTAGGCAATGTTAGGCAAGTGTGGCTTGCCACACTTTTTTTGGCCTATAATTTGTAGTCTGACATATGGTTTAAGATGGTAAGAAAGTGTGGCTTGCCATAAGTATGACAATGAACCAAACTCCTCAGTGCACTTCTTGTTACTGACATATGGGTAATACCAAAGTGGGTCCCCCATGTCATTCAACCAGCTGCAAACTGCGCAAGACCTTCATTGGATCCGTTGCCATAAGCTACCAATCTATGCTGTCTAGCATTGCAAACTCTTGTTTTTCCCTCTCCTGTCTCAACATTTCCATGCGTTCCAGACTGCAACCAAAAATTGAAAAGAAGCAAATGTCAGAAGCAATTGAAACTAATTCCAGGCTAGATGAGAGGGGGAAAAAGAAAAACAAATGCAGACAACTTGTTCGATTGTGCTTACCATATACATCCAATCCCTCCAACCTTGTCCATTGTTCTCTCTTGCTTTGCCTTCTGCATCGTTTCACTCCGTTTCCGACTGCAGCAAACAATGGAAAAGAAGACAAGTCACAAGGCGCTCAATGCAACTAGCTAGGTACAGGCTCTGAGAAAAGAAGCAAATAATGTACACACAACACGCTAGTTAAGAAAGTCTGAACTGTTCTGTTGGCTGTTTTATTGCCCCAGCTATTTTCTTTCCAGAAGAACAGTTAGTACGTAGATTATGCTCTAGTTTTTGATACTGCAATCACGACATTCTCTCTCAAATCAAGCTGTCATGATTACAGTTAGTAACTGGTTAGACCAGACTAAATTAGCTGCCAAAGTACATAAGGTCGTGTGCTGGCAAACCACTAAATGACAGAAGTATAGAGTTGTACAGAAGGATAATAGTGAGGTACTACTTGAATCACTATTTATAGAGCGCCAGGGCATTCAGACAAATATGCTCCATGTTCTTCAACACGGCAAACCAATCATCAAGTATCAGTTACGTTAGTCACTTAGCTCATACTACATCCGTCCTAAAATAAGTGCAGCCATGAAAATCTATGTCCAACGTTTGACCATTAGTCTTATTTGAAAAATTTATAAAAAAAAATAAAAAAAATAGTCATACATAAAGTACTATTCATGTTTTATCATCTAATAACAATAAAAATAGTAATCATAAAAAATTTAAAATAAGACGAATGGTCAACCGTTGGACATGAATAATGTAAAACTGCACTTATTTTGGGACGAAGGGAGTAATAAAGATATGCTACTATGTTTCAATATGCATGCTAACTCTCTAGCAATTTAACTATGGGTAATTTTACCATACTTTAGAAAGTACCGGGAGGTATCATATTTTATAGTGTAAAATTTGGTCCCTCTACGTACTAAGTATCTTGAGGTACCAAAATTTATAGTGTAAAATCTTGGTATCTCCAGATACTTTCTTAAGGACTAGAAATTTCTAGTCCCTCCATTTCAGGTTATAAAATGTTTGACTAAGTTTATAGAAAAAATAGTTACATTTTCGAACCAAAATAAATTTATTATACAAATATGTTTAATTACTAATTTAATAAAACCAATTTGGAAATGTATAAATATTATTATATTTGTCCATAAACTTAGTCAAATTTAAACCATTTGACTTTGACCAAAGTCAAAACATCTTATAACTTGAAACGGATGGAGTACTTAACTATAGTGTTCGCTGGCTGTTCCAAAATATTGTCCCCTTCGTTCCTAAATATTTGACGTCGTTGACTTTTCTAAACAGGTTTGACCGTTCGTCTAATTCAAAAAAAATTAAGTAATTATTAATTCTTTTCCTATTTAATTCATTGTTAAATATACTTTTTATGTATACATATAGTTTTACATATTTCACAAAAGTTTTTGAATAAGACGAACAATCAAACATATTTAAAAAAGTCAATGATGTCAAATATTTAGAAACGGAGGGAGTAGTTCCTAAACAGTGGCTAGAGCAAAAGCATATATAGGCACAAATAAACACAAGACATGCATAATCAAACCTTTGGATGGGATCCTCATGCAAATAAGAGGGGAACCAGCTGGGGATGAAGTAATGGCCAAAGAAGGCCTTCCAGAGCATGCAACTGCCACCGCCGCATTCCCTCTCTTCTCCTTCTCCTTCTCCTTCTCCTTCCTCTTCCTCGTGGATGTAGAGGGCGACCGGTGAACGCATGGCCCTCTTCACCATGTCGATCTCAACAATCCAGTCCCTGCCATCGTCCTTGAGGAGGAAGGAGACGGCATGCGGATCGGCGAGGCTCACCACCGGAAAGGCAGGCGCCGCCGCCGCGCCCCGTCGCGGGAGGCGGCGGTGGTTCTCGGCTCAGATGCGCCAGAACTCGTCGGATCCCATGGCGAAACTGCGCCGCCATCGTCGTCTGCTCTTGTTGTTGTGGTGGTGGTGGATGTTGGTCAGGACCCATGATTTGATGGTGAAATCTCTCGTGATCTTGCCGCGTGTGGCGATCTTGTCTACGCAGACGAGCGTGACGAGGCCGGCGCCGGTGACGGAGACGCGGCGAGCTGGGTCGGGGTCGTCCTCGTCGTCGTCGACGCGGCGGCTGCCATTCATGGCCTCCTCCGGCAGCGGGATGTAGCTGAATTGCTGCAGGTTATCGGCGTCGATGAGCAGTATGCCGTTGTAGAAGTCGACGCAGCAGAGGTAGTGGCCGTGCAGGGGGAGGACGAGGTCGTTCACCCATTTGGGGAGCTCGTCGTCGTCGCCAATCTTGGGTACACGCTGGATCCTCCATTGCTCCGGCGACTGCTCCGGCGACGGCGACGGCAAGGTGGCATGGTGGTTGAAGATGCAGAGCTCGAGGGAATTACCGTCGTAGTTTCTGATGTCCGCCACCGTGAACTCGCCGGCGACGTCGCCGGAGAGGAAGCCGATGTTCTCGCCCAGCATGATCCGCTGCCGCTGGACTCGGTACGGCTTGTAGTACTCGTCCTCGGCCGGGTCGGAGAAGCCGCCGATGAAGCAAGGTGGCAGCCGCGTGAGCGACGGCGGCGAGGCGGCGGCGCCGCCGCCGGCGGTGTAGACGAAGTAGTCGACGGGGAAGTGCCCCGGCGCGACGAAGCCCGGGTCGGAGAAGGGGACGCCGGTGCGGAAGAGGATGGCGCCATTGTGGGCGGCGAGGACCTCGGCGTGGTGCAGGTCGTAGGCGTCCGGCCACGGCCCGTCGAGGCGGTGGAGGTGGAGGCGGGAGACGGCGGGCGGGTCGGCGACGCGGAGGGAGGCGCGGATGCGGCGGCCGCTGCAGGTGTGGGCGCTCTCCGACGCCGTCACGTCGTCGTCGTCGTCGTCGCCGACGACGTCGCCGTCGCTGCAGTGGGCGCACCGGTCGAGAATTATCCAGCTGTGGATCGTGTCCGGCGGTCTCCTCGGCCGGGCTCTCGATCGCCGCGGCGGCGGCGGACTCATCGGCGAGACTAGTTTGGATTTAGGGTTTGCTTTCCACCAGTAAGAAATTTCGTAGTTTACACTGGGATTGGTGAAGATCACCTTTTTTTTTAAGCGATCTCCATGCCGTATTAAACGTATACATACACTGAGAAGTGTGAAAAGTTATGACATGTCAAATCGGATATATACCGATTCACGTTTAAAGTATTAAACATATAGTCTAATAGATTGCGCTGTAATCTGCAAGGCGAATTTATTAAGCCTAATTAATCTATCATTAGCAAATATTTATAGTTGCACCACATTGTCAAATCATGACGCAATTAGACTTAAAAGATTCGTATCCGTGTAATTAGTTTTTTTCTATATTTAATACTATTAAATATTTGATGTGGCAGGTGAAAAGTTTTTATGTGATTTAAGGAAGAAAATTTGGTAGGACCTCCGTCCTTCCCTTATCCGAAAGTCTTAATTTGGTTGCTGCACGACGTGTCGCCGCCGCGGGGTCACCGATCCGATCGACGACGTGGCGGCGCGCGACGCCTTGTGGCTAGGGCAGATGGGCCGGCTGGATCGGGTGGGCTGGGCTAGCACTAGGTGTGGCTTACAGTTAGATGGGTTGGGCTGGCCCAAAAGGGAAGATGCACTTTGCAATTAGTTTTTAGTGTTTTTGAAAGTAATTTTGTATAGGTGGGATGTATTTGAGTTAATTTGGAGCTTGGCACAAGAGGAAAGAAAGAAAGTTGCCATTAAGAAATCTAGGATGATGCATGATTTCACCCAAAAAAAAATGATAGATCCATTTTTCCTTAGAGAGACTTACAAGAAATGTCATGTAAGTACCATATGTCAGCATAAAATACTAGATCAAAAGTAACGCACATCAACATCGCCCATTTAGAGATAAATTGATCTGGTTTTACTAATTGAGGAAACCTTTTACTAGTACTAGATATTTATAGGACTCCTCTAGGTGGGAAAATATGCAGTGCAAATAACATATGCAGTTGAAACCTAAACATTATTGTTACATCTAAAAATGGACGCATTTGATTAATTTGTCTATGTTACTAAGAGTAAAATTTATATTCCCAGTAAAACTTTTACTCATGGCTAAATTTATAAGTAAAATTTTTACTCTCGATGATGTAGATAAATCTCATGCGTCTATTTTTAGATCCAATAATAATTTTCATATTTTCACTAGATATGTGGTTTGCACTATACATTTTTCCCATGTGATTTGTGTTCTTTTGAACACTTTGAAAGTAGTAACTTCTACTCCTTACTTTTCACGTGCACGCTTCCAAACAGTTAAAGGTACATATTTATAAAAAAAATTTATAAATATAAAAAACATATTAATTTATTTCTTAAATTTTTTAGTTAATGTTTAATTAATCATTTGTTAATTCATCGCTTAGTTTTACGTGCGAGAAAAGGTTTTCAACCCTCTCAAATGAACCCAGCCAGGACACTGATGCAGCTCGAAGGTGAGCCCATAAAATTTTTGAACCTCTTCATTTTTTTTACCCTGAAATTTTGAGCAACCGAACCACGCGAAAGATGATCCAACTCAGGAAGGAAGGAAGGAAGACGCACACGCAAGAATCGAGCCGCCCCAGCTGTCACCTCCACCTGGGCCCCACATGTCACCCCCCCCACCCACACCGCCGTGGGCCCGCACCTGGGCCCACGTGTCGTCGGCCCAATCCAACACACCCCCCCGGGTTGGTGAAGGCATCATGAACCACGCCCTCTCTCTCTCGCACCCCACCCACCAACCTACCCTCACCCACCGACACGTGGGCCCCATCGAGAGCGTGGCCCACACGTCAGTGAGAAGAGGTCGGGTTGCTCCGCGTGGCAATCTCGGTTGCTGACCCGCTTTTGCTCCGGCCAATAAAAAGGCGAGGCGAAGCGGAGGAGCGGAAGCAGATGACCTCGCCGCCGCCGCCGCCGTCGTCGTTGCTCCGCCGCCTCCCGACCACGCGCTGCTGCTGCTTTGCCTCCGCGTCGAGCGGCTGGAGCGCGAGTGCGAGCGTGCGGCTCGGATCCCTCGGCGGGAAGCAGCGGCGGGGGCATCGCGGCGTGGCGGTGATGGCGGCGGCGGCGGCAGGGGGAGGAGGCTTCGAGGCGCGCGTGGCGCGGATCGCGTCCACCATCCGCGTCATCCCCGACTTCCCCAAGCCAGGTCTGGTGTTCCGCCCCCACCTCCCTCGCTCTCTCCCGCTTTTTGCTTCGGCCATGTGAAATATTCATCTCGGATTTCACGAGAGTGTAGCAGCTCTGCGCTGGGATATTTATTCATCGTCGTCTAAAGCACGCAGATTGTGTGGTTGTACTTAGGGTTAAACAGTAGTTAGTTCGTAACTGAGTATGAACTGTCTGAGTGGAGTAATTAACAATGTTTTTTTTCCTGGTTTAATAGATTATATATAGATCTTTATTTATCCAAGTGGAGGTTTTGTCCTGCTGCTTGTTTGCTAGTTAGCTTAGTTTTGTGCGATGCCCTTTTTTTTTGTTCTCTCTAGACGGTCATACATTGATTTTCTCTATGGTGGGTGGGGTGTTGTATGGAACTTGGGTTAGTGTTATGTTGGCCAGAATGCTTTTAAAATGACATGTTAGTTTTTCAACATAGCTATAGAAATAAAAATGAAAAATGCGCTACATTTTTATGTGTAATATATTTTTCATGTTTTCAGATATAAAATAAAAACCTTTCTTCTTTCTGTTTCTTTATGTAGGGATTATGTTTCAAGATATCACAACAATGCTTCTCAAGCCAGATGCATTTCGTGACACGATCGAGCTCTTCGTTGAGCGATACAAGGACAAAGGGATCACTGTAATTGCTGGTAATGTAAAATTAAGTGCTACTTCTTTTGTGACATTACATGCATTCATGGTTAAAAAGTTAGAATTATAAATGATGCAACTGAGATGCACATATATTCTGTTGTACATTTTCTTTTCATAATTTCCCTCGTTGTGAAATATCAGGTGTTGAAGCTAGAGGATTCATTTTTGGTCCGCCCATTGCTTTAGCACTAGGTGCAAAATTTGTTCCATTGAGGAAGCCAAAAAAGTTACCTGGTATGTACTAAACTTTTTGTTATTTAGCATACATTGCCTCCAGTTATTGAACAACTATGCCTTTGCCTAAGAGATGTGGTGGCTAATCTTACATGTTTATACTAGGTGAGGTGATCTCGGAAGAATATTCTTTGGAATATGGTACAGATAAAATAGAAATGCATGTAGGAGCTGTGGAGCCAAATGGCCGGGCCGTTGTTGTTGATGATCTAATCGCTACAGGTGGAACCTTATCTGCAGCCGTTAAACTTATTGGTAAGGTCCTGTTTAAGCTTTGTTTTTGTAGTTTGAACACTATAGATAATGTCCTAAATTCAGCTACTTAAATTTTATAAGACATGCTATTCATAAAAAGTCCCCTTTTCTTGAGCTACAAAATAGATATAGTTTATGTCCGGTCCATTCGATTTGTACTTTCGTACTTGTAGATTTGAAAACCATATGACTCCAATACTTATTTTCCAAACTTTGAGATAAATTCGCTGTAGTGCATATATATGGAGTTTAGGGAATTGATGTTTCGAAGGACTTATGTTTATTTAGCTATGCTGTTCATGTTTTCTTTGTTTTTTTTAATATATTTGAATGGAATATGCCTTAACATTCTGAATATACTTTTGGGATTTATTCCTATGATTTGTGATATGGTTTACTTAACTCAATTAACCTTCACTCTTTGTAGAGCGTGCTGGAGCAGAGGTTGTTGAGTGCGCATGTGTCATTGAACTACCAGAACTGAAGGTATAATTCTTTTGACGCATCAATATCTCTGATTCTCTTATACAGAACAGTGTATTAAGTTAGCATGTGGGTATGTGTTGGGTAATTGATCTGCATGCTCAAGCAAAGAAAAGAAAAAGAAGCTTTAGTTAGATGTGAATAAGGAGATTTTTCATGGTAGTGCTTGACTGTTATATAGTCGTCGACTGTAGGAAGTTTCCTTTTGGCTGTACATTATTTTTTGGGTAATACTCATGCAAAGATTAACATTAAATTTGAAATTAGCTACAAGAAAGGAAGTATTAACAAACCATGACTAGAAACTCATTGAAAAGACTTTGGAATAATTCAAAAGATGTGCTCTTCATGATCGAAATCTCATTTTTAAAAAACTTTGGGATTATCTGCATTTGTCACTGCCAGGAATTTAGATCAAGATTAAAACTTTGGTTAGAAATAACATGGCTTAAGATGACATCCAGTGCTCTAACTATGCCATGTTTTTTCAGGGTCGGGACAAGCTGGGGAACAAGCCAGTTTTTGTCCTTGTGAAGGCAGACTAAGCGGAATGAAACAACTAAGGGCCTCTCAAGTTGTCCCTATTAATATCAGTGTCCTTCTCGAAGCATGTTGGAAGCAACTAAGATATCGGTCGTGACAATATTAGCTTGTTCTATCCAGTGCTCTGCAATAAAAGTCTCATCTTTAAATTTGTAGGCACATGAGTTATTTGGGAATTCGGACTTGAATGATCCTTGTAATACATCAAAACACGGCATAATTTTTTTTAAAGGAGTGCCAATTATTCATGGGGAATGAGAATCACCTATTTTGGAGTTTGTTGTTCTGCTTGCTATCACTATTGCATTCCTGCTTTCCTGTACAACTTTCACTGACAATTTGTGATCATGGACTTCTGCATTGACTTGTGGAGATCATGATGCTGGCAATTCAAGGTGCCCAGTGGTTTGTGGTACTTCATTTTTTTTGAAACACAATTGGACACTATCTTATCTTCTGTGGCCACTGATCATATGTTAGATCGGCACAATGCGTTTGCATCTGGCAACTAAAGATTTCATGTGGACGTGCTATATTGTTACTCGTACCAGTTTGTGACTTTAAAATCTTTCAGAGCTCAGTCAAAATTGAATTTCTGAAGACAAAGTAGTTGCTCCGGCAACAATGTTCTCGAGTGTTCAGTGACCGTATTTACTTCAACAGTCATGATTTAGTTTTGTTTATCAGTTTGGTGAAATATTTGGTTTCCTATCACTGATGAGTGATGAGCAATCTGACATGATAAAACTTCATTTCTATGTGGGCATGCCTCGTGTATAGTATGTATTGTTTGAACAAGTATGGTCTCATAGACTCATACCAAGCTATATATACTACCGTTTGGAATTGTGGAGATTGTTAATTTGAGGGTTTTTCTCTAGCTGCATCTAAGTGCAATACCTGATTGATGCTTTCTTCTTTTGATATTCTGATTGAAAAATGCCCTGAGTCTTGTTTGACTTGAACATTGTTCTAGATTGAAGACATTGATTTGTACCTGCCTTTTTTTTATTGGATAGCTGCCTATTTCTTTATTTTTGACCTTCAGCTATTGTGTATAATCTGACTTCTAATTTGTACCATTATTTTTCCGCGAGAATTTCTGACTTGTTCCATCTTCTTTTGAAAGTCTCATCTGCTTATTACTTTGACCTATTTCCGTTGCACTATTCATAGTGGTTAGTGGGGGATGGGAGGCATCTGTTGCTTTTTGTTTGGTGTAAAGTGATGAGGACTTGATGTTTCTTTCTTAGATGAAGATGGATGCCTATGTATCCAAGTTGCAGAAAATATCTTTGTGATGCTGCCTGCAAATCTTGGAAGCAGCTACATGCAAGTTCAGTAGCAGCAGCATCTCTAATTGACTAGTTTACCTGACCATGAGAACAGAGCTTCGATTACTAATTACACATGGGTGTAATTCCATAATATATTTATTTATTTTTGACAATAACTTGCTTGGATACACCGTTGAAGAATTTAGTTTATTATATTGACATTTGGCGTAAGCTAATCAATAAAAGTCAAGAATATTGTAAAGATTTGCGTTAGCATTGTCAACTGAAAGTGACAGAAAAAAACTAGTACTTGTTTTGTCTTCTTCCTTTTGTTTTATGCATAGAAATATATTTGGTATATTAGAATTCAGTGGATTGTGAGCACTTAGTATTGTCATGCTGTCACTTGATGCCTTCCTCAGTTACTTCATCTGTTTGCTACAATTTTCTTCAAGGAACAGGGATACAAACCAACAACAACTATGAATGATTTCGAATGCTTTGGTTATGTCTGTGCTTTAATTGTTCTTGAAATTTATCTTCACAGCATATTCCTTCTTTATTTTCTTAATAATGTCGAAAATATGACTTTACTTTGAGGGAGGTTAGAAAAATACATGGCTGAAACAATGGTAGATATGGAAGTGCATATGTATGTTTATCTATGCAAGCAATTATGCTCATACTAGAATGCAGCTATTCCTCAGCATAATTTATCATGGCCAGTTTGTGCACTTAATTTATAACCCAAAAAAGAAATGCTAAGAAGAGAATATCTCTTAGGATGTCCCAAAGGGACTAGTCTCAGTCTCTCAGAAGCAATTTGGCTTTCCCAGACTATGAAGTTGAATGTTGTGAAGTCAGAAAATAAACATTAGTGTTTATATGCTAATGATATCTTATATTATGTTCATTGTTTGTGCTACTAATGATATCTGGTTGGTTGTTTAGGCATTTGAAAAATACATAACCATGCAATTGGCCGCATAACATCAGATGCTTACATGCTCCTTTCATACAGCTAAAGGGTAAGAATGGCGCCATAAACAAATCTTATCTTGTTCCCTTTATATCACTTTCATTGCCAGCATCTTAGCTGTTCTTGTTTACCAAGGAGAGGCAGGAAGTCCCTCTTGAGGACATGACAGAAATACACCAGATTTGTGCACTGTGGTGGATCTGAGTCATGTGCAGCCTTTAATTGCTGGATAATATGCAGATCATATTCCTGCTGGGGGGATATCAGCATCAGATCTCAAGCAGACTCAGATTTGTCGGGTGTTTCGCAAACCTGACACCTTAAATGGAGACCTGCATTGTGGCTTTCCATTTTGTTTGATGATGCACATGCTCGTTTATTCCTAAAACGTGCCATTATGGTAATATAAGATCTTATTTGAGTTCTATGCAGTCATTTGGTAATCTTGCAGCAGATCTTACTCTGGTTGACCTTCAGAGAAGTGACAATTAACAGATAATCTGATAATAAACCTATGGAAGGGTTCTGTTGAATTTCCCCAAGGTACATTGTTGTTGTATTCCAAATTGATTCAACTGTGTTCATAATCTTGTTTCTATCACAGGTTAAGTTAATAAAGTATACTGGATTGGTCTAATTGTTTCAGATGTTAATGACACAAATATATGAGAAAACCACTCTATGGAAATGGAATCCTTTGCAAGTTTGCAGAATCAATGAGCCTGGCAGAATGAACAGCCCACAGGAGAAGCCAAGAAGGCAACATGCCTCGATATCGCCGAGGCGCTGTAATATCTTCATTGAGTTCTTAAGAATGTTGAGATTCCCTCCATGTTCGTGCAGGCCTCACTCTGCATCTCCTAACTTTATTTATTCCATCTCCTTAACCAACACAACTCTCTGCATTTTATACAATTTTATATGCTGAGGTAAACTCTTTACTTCCTTTGCCTGTCCTTGATGAATCAAATGATTAGTAAAATGTCTCCAATCATTGAACCAGCCTTCACAGACAGGCCACATAACTGTAATGTTGGATAAGTCACTGTCCTTGTCTACCAACTAGCAGTTGAAATTTTCTAATCTTGTTTTAATCTTCACCATACACTTGAGCCTCCAATTTTTTAATTTTAGCAAATAATGTGTGTCCTGCAACATTTCTGAATTCTGGTTTCTGAACAGTATATAAGCACCTGAACAGTTGTGCCATTGTCATCATCCAGCAAGCACCTCAACAGTCAAGCCACACTCCTAAAGACATCATATATTCATATCTCAGTTGTCTACCTCCAAGTCCTGAATTCACATCAGAATGGAGGGTGGAGGACTGATCGCCGATATGAGCTGGACCGTCTTCGACTTGCCATCGCACAGCGATGAGTCGGAGATGATGGCGCAGCTCTTCAGTGCATTCCCCATCCATGGTGAGGAGGAAGGCCATGAGCAGCTCCCATGGTTTGATCAATCTTCCAATCCATGCTACTATAGCTGCAATGCTAGCAGCACTGCATACAGCAACAGCAATGCTAGTAGCATTCCTGCTCCATCTGAGTATGAAGGATACTGCTTCAGTGACTCAAATGAGGCCCTGGGTGTCAGCTCCAGCATTGCACCACATGACCTGAGCATGGTCCAGGTGCAAGGTGCAACTGAGTTTCTGAATGTGATCCCAAACCATTCCCTTGATTCATTCGGTAATGGCGAGCTGGGCCACGAGGATCTTGATTCGGTTAGTGGGACTAACAAGAGAAAACAGTCGGCAGAAGGAGAATTTGATGGCCAAACAAGAGTAAGTCCTTGCTCATCAGTGATCATTCTTCACTCTTGTTATCTTTCAGGAAGATGTTTGGAGTGCTAATGTAAAAATCGCTTGGAATGATCGAAATGCAGGGTTCAAAATGCGCGAGAAAGGCTGAACCGAAGCGAGCGAAGAAGGCCAAGCAAACTGTGGAGAAGGATGCAAGTGTTGCCATCCCAAATGGGAGCTGTTCCATTTCTGACAATGATTCCAGTTCATCCCAGGAGGTTGCAGATGCTGGTGCTACTTCGAAAGGCAAATCCCGGGCTGGCCGCGGAGCAGCCACTGATCCCCAGAGCCTCTATGCAAGGGTACTAGAACATGATCATCTCCTGAAAACATAATCTTTTCAACAACTGAATGTGAAAAAAAAATGCTAACATAAGTTCTCTGCTTAATCAGAAAAGGAGAGAGAGGATCAATGAGAGGCTCAAGACACTTCAGAACCTTGTGCCCAATGGCACCAAAGTAAGCTTCTGAACATAAGTGCTACCAATTACACTCACATGACATGGAATTCTTGAACCAAATGGCTAAAAGAACAATGCTTGTCTTGATCTTGTAGGTTGATATCAGCACCATGCTTGAGGAGGCAGTCCACTATGTGAAGTTCCTGCAGCTTCAGATCAAGGTGAGCATCTACAGAATACAGTTCAGTTCATATCATCCATTATCCTGTAACAAGATCCACTTATCATATTTTGTCCAATCCTGCAGCTCCTCAGCTCCGATGAAATGTGGATGTATGCGCCAATTGCGTACAACGGGATGAACATTGGGCTCGATCTGAACATTGATACATGATTCAGAAGTCTCAGCTCACAACTGGACAATGCAGTTCATGTTAATCACAACGAGTTCATACTAACCATGCAATGAATTCAACACAAATTAGCCATTCTGGAATTACTTATATAGTTCCAGTTCGTCATCAGTTACTGAAGGATCATAGGTAACACCGGTATCAAACTGGAACTGGTCCTGAAACTTGTGAAGAACTGAAGACGAGCAAGGCTAATTGTGCACTACTACACTTGCATCATGGGACGGTTCAATTTGCCCCCAAATTTGCATGTGACAATTTTTTTGTTGTCTTCATGAAAGACATATACTTTTGAAGAGAATTTGTAAAATTAAGATACTATATGTTTGCTGTGAATTTTGTAAGCAATGCAAAATCTAGTCGCTTTTGATTCTTTTTGGAAGCAAATTTTTAAGTCCCATTGTCTCAATATCTCATTTCCAGTTTCCACCTCGAAGCATGATCTTAAGCACACGTAGAATTATTATTTTATCAATTTTATTTACTTGTTCATGTTGGCTCATGCGTGGAGTTGACCTGATTTAAATGAATTTGTAAATAGCCAACATACCGAACTGACAACAAGGTTCACAATCTCGATTGGCCAGTGAATTTCAAGCCACAATGAGACGTAGATTTTTTTTTTGTTAATTTTGATGAATTTCGACAAATTTTGAATGAAATTGAAAAATAATCAAACAAAAACATTTGAGATCTACATTCGGGCCAGCTCGAGATGTTCAAAATTCAGAGATTGTGAACCCTGAGTACGTTTTTTTCCTCTTTTTTCTAATTATAGCCTTATACATGATTATAATCTTCTAACTTCTTCTTAACTGGCTGTTATTTTATCAAAATAAATCTTATCAAATTTTGGCAATGTCAAAATTTTGGTAAGTGGGTAATATTGCCAAATTTTGATAGGATTCCTTATATATTTACCAAAGTTTGGTAAAAAAACTAAATGTATATCTTTGGCAATTTTTTTAAAAAAGACATGGTTTGAAATGACACTAATCTAAACAACCCTTATACTTTTAATATAGTTGGTATCACTAACTTCTAAAACTCAGTATGCAAGTGTACAACATCGTCATCCACTGTTAAGTATTATCTATAGTATTTTAAATCATATACAAGTACGTCACATCATCACTCACTAACAATTATTATATCGATTATTTTAAATATCATGTTAGCATGACATAGTATAATTTATGATTTTGTTGTATTTTTAAAACTTAATACGTAAACAATGTCAAATCGTCATCTCCACATTACTTTTACATTATTTAAAGATGTAACATACATTCATCCAAATATAACGTAGCAAAGTGCTAGTACTGTATCAATATGAAACACTGAAACCTAACACCAGCTGGTGCGTTTCATTTCAAATATTCAAAGCAAAAGGGAAAAAAATGGGCCTAATTCGAGGGGACGGCCCAGGTGAAAGCCCATTGGGCCTGGACTGAGACGGCCCAGCTAGGCCCAATTCGAGGAGTAGTATAGAATCCCAAAGCCCTAAACTAAACCTACGCGCTCGCGTGCTTACCCGCCTCGCGTACCCACACCATGGCCGCCGCCGCCGCCTCCTCCTGCGGCGGCGCCGGCTGCGGGCCCCACTGCTCCTCCTCCGCCTCCGCCGCCGCGGTGGAGGATGCTGCTGCTGCGGCGGCGGAGAAGGTAGGCCGCCTGTCACTCTCCCGCGAGTGCGGCAAGTGCGGCGGCGGCGCCGCTGCCGTCGCCGTCGCCGGAGGCCTCGGCCTGTGCGGCGAGTGCTTCCGGGCCAACCTGCTCGGGAAGTTCAAGCTCGCCGTCACGAGCAACGCCATGGTTCGCCCCACCGACTCCGTCCTCCTCGCCTTCTCCGGCGGCCCCGCCTCCAGGTTCGCTTCCCTCTTCTTTTTTTTTTCCTTCCTAATTTTCATTTCTTTTGTGCTACATAAAGTTATTACTCTTCCTTTGCATATAATTCTTCACGTGTTTATGATCATTAGATTTGAAGTGTTATTGTATTATACTTTACATAGAATTCTTCATGTGTTTATGATCATTAGAGTGGAAGTGTTATTGTATTATAGTACTTTGCATAGAATCTTCATGTGTTTATGATCATTAGAGTGGAAGTGTTATTGTATTATAGTACTTTGCATAGAATCTTCATGTGTTTATGATCATTAGAGTGGAAGTGTAATTGTACTACTACGTGATGTAATTATAGGGTAGCGCTGCAATTCATACATGAGATGCGGTGCAAGGCGATTGAGAGCTGGGACGTGAGCAATTCACAAGCCTTACCGGTATTCGGTGTCGGGGTGGCATTCGTGGATGAAAGTGTTCTCTGTTCGAAGCCGAGAGACGAGATTGAGATGGCAATTGAAGATATCAGGTCGATCGTGTCGAGTTTGTCAACAGGCGTTAAAGCGATGCACATTGCGCGTCTTGAGGATGTGTTCTCCACCGAATCGGAGGATGGGGAACGCAGGTTGAGGGAGGCGGTGGATATGATTGGTGATGACACTGGGAGGGAGGATTTCCTTCGGTGCTTACGCATGCTTTCGTTGCAAAAGGTCCGTCAGTGTGCTTTTTTGCTCTTGTATTATGCTTTTTGATCAGTGGATGAGTTAATGTCTATTGTTTCATGTTGATGTGTTGTTGATCAGATTGCTATGGAAAACGGGTACGCTAAGATCATGCTAGGATCATGTGCTTCTGCAATAGCATGCCATGTTCTGTCCGCGACTGTGAAGGTATACCATGTGCTGCTTTCTCTGTATTCTGTTCTTTGTTACCAATTCATAATTCTTGAAAAGAACATGATGGAAATTAGAGGAGCACTATGAAATTGATATCTCTACCCAGGGGCAAGGTTACTCTTTACCTGCTGATGTCCAGTATGTTGATACACGGTGGGAAATACCTGTTGTTCTCCCACTCCGTGATTGCCTAGCCCAAGAGCTTACTCTCCTCTGTGAACTAGATAGGTAAGAGAAGGGGGAAAAACCTTATTTGTTTATTTCTTGAAATGCCATTGATTCTAACTGAATGTGTTTAGTTTAAAAACACAGCAACATCTCGATAGGCCTTCGAACGGCATCAACAGTTTAGTTGCATCCTTTATTAAACGACTACGGGTAAGTTCAGTCCTATCATGCCAATTACTACATGTCAAATTACACTTCACCTATTCTTAGTTGAACTACATCCTTGCTCAGCAGTTATTTTTGTTAATTGTTTGGAGGACAACACATCTTTACAGCTATTATTACCATCTGCAGGAAGAGAACCCTTCTCGAGAGCATACCATTGTAAGAACTGCGCAAAAGCTCAAGCCCTTCTCTTTTAACAAATTCTCGGCAGATGGCTATCATGATTTCCTACCATCGCGACTACGTCCAAAATTCCAGAAGTTTGATAGCGATGAGTCCACTTTTTCTGAGATTCTCTGTCTGATGTGTGGAAGTCCGTTCAGTGAATCAGAACTCCAGAATTTGGAAAGCACAAAACACAAGGCTCAGAAGAAAATTGATCTTTATACTGCTCATTGTTGTCAAAGCTGTTATTTCCAGATTCTACCAGCCGGTGAAAACTTGAATGAACATTTCTTTTCACTACTACCAAAATTATGGACTGGAAAAATGGATACCATATCTGACAGCCATAGCTTGCTAAGGTGATAGTGGTTTCTGTTTCTTTATGGAGTACTTCATTTCTTGTTATAAACAGTGAGCGCTATTGGTAGTTTAGCAAATGAAAACATTGAACCTTTGGATATTGGAGCTTGTTTGTCTGATAATGTTTGATTTAACGTGACCATGTGTAGTATGTGCAGTTGGCCCATTCATCTGTTAAAGTCCTGCCCTATTCAGTCCTTCAGTGCACTGATTTGCTAAATTGTTTATGGCATTTTTTTTCAGAGATCAAATAGAAGAGTACCTGCTTGAAGAAAATGATGATGGAAACTGAACTTGATATTTCAGTGAAGCCCGAATATATTGTAAGAGAGAATCTTTCGCTTCATCCTTTTATTTTGTGCTGTAAAAATCTTCTCTGCATACGGTAATGCTGTAAAAGTCATTTTGGAATGTGGTAATCATTTATCTTATAGTTTATGCTGAGTTGCTGACATATATTCTTCAAATTGTTTTGTTGTAGTGCCAGAAAGACAGCAGAGATTCCTGCCTAGTTGGGCTCCTCACATTGGCATAATCACATAATCCAAACTTGCTTCAGATAATAGTGTTTCTATCTAGCATGGCATTGGTTTATTCAGAATTCTGCCAGATACTTACAATTTCAACACATTATATCCTTGACTCAATTCCTGATGTTTCTGTATGTCCTTCCTACTCTTAAGAGTTGAAACCTGTATGAAATCCGTATAGTGATAGCCTGATGGGGCAGACCGTCACTTGCCAGCAAGTTTCCACCGATCTCAAGACCACAGACATTGGACAGAAACTTCCATGTGATTACAGTATTCTGATTGGTCACATCTCCTGTACCAACTATTCTGTCTGCAAAAGATTGTAACCTGAAGAATTTATTCGATTATTTTGGAACAATCTTCTCTATACAAGATTTGCACATACTATGGTTTCAATCAAGTACAACGTCCTGTTGGCTCTTCCCATTTATCATGCCTTCAAGGAAACTTTTAAAATTAACTTTGTACATATATACTGCATATTTGTTATTGATTGCCTGGTAAGATTGAATCATTGAAGGATGGATCATTCTATTATGGTTGCAAAATAAGAATCAAAATCACAAACAATACATCGCATGCACAGATACACTACAGGTAATTGGTGCCAACAAAATGGTGAGACCACTACATATTAGTGGTCCCTCCCACTTAACCTTTGTATAACTATCTTATCTACATGTATTTGCTACATTAACCTTTGTATAACTATCTTATCTACATGTATTTGCTACATTAACCTTTGTATAACTATCTTATCTACATGTATTTGCTTCATTATCATGTCACTTACATATATGCTTTCTGAGATAGTAAGTCCTTTTTTGCTATTAGTCGGCTGTCTTTTCCTTTGCATTGTGGTTCATTGTCTCATCTGCCAACCAGCATATTACAACAGTTGGTATTGTAACATTTTCTTGTGAAACTCAAGATAAGTGCCTCCCATGAGTGCTTGCATGTGCTCCTCTTGGTGTTGCTGACTGACTGAACCCTTGTACCAGTCAAACATTGGGAAGCTGTCCTAATGTTAGGTTAAAGCTTGTAAAAGGTTAGACTTTTTGATTAGCCACTTTAATCTGATTGGGTTGGCATAAAGCCTGGCTGATAATCTTAGCCGACGTGCAGGGACTTATCCAGCTTTTCATCAATGATGGCAACATAAGTGCATGACTTAAAGCCTCCCAAGGGCCTACACAGCTTTCATTTTAGATGGTTGGAGCAAGGTTTTGTTTATTTTATATAAATACCATACTGTACTGTCGAAGTGTCAAGCAGCTGATGTGGATGGATTTTGACAGAAACTTGGCAAAATCATCAAATTTCAGACAATTTTCTTTGTTAAAGTTATACGGATAAATTGCGGGAATATCAATTAATAATCAAGGAAAATTATTCGTGATCAACTATAAATCGCTGTTAGGTTTGGGTTCGAGTAAATGAAACATGGAAGTACATTTTTAATTATGAGGGAATTAAATCACATGCAGTTAGTAGTTACAAAATAGTTTCAATTGCACTCAAATTCCTGTTGAAGGTCTTGTTCAAAATGTTTGTAACATAGTGGCACAATATCTGTCCTGAGCTATCCAATCAACCTGTCCTTGAGGTATTGTTGTCCATTACACTGCAATGGTACTATGTCTACTGCTAGAAGCAGTAGAGTTGGTTCCTTGGTTGATTCAGAAGAAATTGCTTATTCTTTGGACAGAAAGACTTGACCCCCAAATAGGCCTGGAAAACAAAAGGTAAACAAATAGGTCTACAAGATTTTGTGCCCCCTTTTGTACTTAGCTCCATAATCTAGTTCATTTCATACTCTATATATAATATCATTGGTGTTTTGGTGATTCAAAAAAGGGTAAGCTAAGTTAGTGCTAGAACTAGCATGCCCAAGTTTGGCACTAGTAGAGTTTAGCCACTGTGTGGCTTTAGTGGATTAGTGGACAAGATCTCCTCCTAATGCTTTGCTTCATCTCACAAGCAAAGGCCCATTGTGTCCCCTAGTGATTGGCACAGTTCACTGCTTTCATTGAAATAGGGAGAGATGGTGAAGGGCCCCTTGCATTGAGACATTGACATGACCAAACTTAGGCTTCATTTATTTATCATCTTGCTTCTGTGAAGGTGTAGAAGCATTGGTCAAAGAAGACATCACTGAGTGGTCTTAAGTGGCAGAGTAGATAGCATCACTATAGTCTCTGAACCCCTTGCTTCACCAAAGTGGGGGCAGCTTGGAAGAACACTCTACCTCTTAATATATAGTCTTCTCTCAAATGCTGATTACTATTGTTTACTTGCTAGTTGCTTTTCTGAATATATTTCTGATCACCTTGTGTGCATTAGGTTTGCCTACTAGTCTGAAATGCTGATGAGTGTTAAGTCAATACTTGTGGCTTGATCCTTGAATGCTGCAACTTCAATGTTGGCTAGGATACATATTATGTCCTCCTCTTTCTTCACTTTGTTTTATTTTCCTTTTTTTTTTCTCATGTGGGACTGAGGAACCTGAATTCAAGGCTGGTTTATGCAGGGTCCTGTAGCAAACTTGATGATATGATGTGTCCTGAGGTTGTTTGATCTGTGTCACACATCTGCTTGCTTGCAATCCATAAATGAATGTCGAAGAAACCTATAATTCAGGTAGGAGGACAGGTTTTTTTACTGTGTACGATTGTCCATTGCAGGAAATGTTGGACAGAATGGCTTGCACAACCTTAAATGCAGTATACCGGCTCCATCCACATCCAGGACCGTCGGTCACAGTACATTTCAACATGACCAACTGTGAATCGTTTTAATAATTTCCTTGAGAAGTTATTGTTCATGGTTCTTGTTTTGTTCTTACAGGTGAAAGTTGAAACCTGATGATCAGTGTTACTAGATGCTATCATCATTGCGTGTTCATGCTGATGTTTGTTTGAAGAGCACTGTATCAGCAAAACTCCATAAGAGGTACTGAAGCTCTCTCTGCAAAGTACAATTCTGAATTTGAGATTTCTTTATGATATTCGATTGTACAAATTCTGCAAATTACAAACTCCATAATCTGTTATTTGCTTGTATTCGAAGATTTCTTTATGTCTCAGTCCATCACAAGAACTGTCAACAAACTCAGGCTCCATATATATATATAAAAACTTTCAGATTGCCATTTGTTTTCACTCCATCTGAAAGTTTGACATTATCTAAAAACAAATATGTAAATTTGACATGCCTGATTATATTAACTTCTGCACTCCATTATATTTCATCCTTTGATTTCAGATGCGGACCGTTTGCTCGTCATGTTGTCTGAATCACCAAATGCAGGAGCAGCAAGGATAAGAAGTGGTCCATATTGCTCTCCTTGATCTTAGTGTGAGTTCAGGCCAAATCTTGGCATCTTCCCTTGTTTTCAAATGGGCAGCAAGCAATTGGGGGACCTGGGGGTACTACTGAAATTTGCATCTTGGCATGGGACGATGCGTGTTGAATTGGCACTGTTTTGGTACTCCAAAACATTGGCCCTTGAATCCTGGGTTTTTGTTCACTCTCCCAACATTTTCAGCACCATCTCATGTCATGTGACCCCAAATATTCAAGTGTGTAAATAAATTTCGTGTAAATATATATGTGTATATAAATTTGCCATGTCCCCACTATTAATTAGCATCTGGATGTAGTAGCAAGATTGGGACATTGCAGACAGCTTGTCCTAGTTCACGAGGAAGGCTAAAATTCCATGGACATGGGTAGGGGAAAAAGAAATCATACAGTAACTCTGAAAAAAATTGTCAAGGTTAAAAATCTGTCAAATTTTGTCAGTAGCTAGGGAGGATTAGGTTGTGAGATGCTATAGAGTAGCTGCATTATTATTGATTAGATACCATGGTTGTGGCTGTATTATGTCTCTGATCACCCACAGAATTTGCTTGTTTTTCCCTGATGGGGGTGGGGCCCACATTGATTCATTAGTAGCCAAATTAAACCGAGTGTTTTTGTCTCAACCCTGAGTACATTCTGAAGAGGAAATGTGGCATTTTCTTGGCTGCATTTAGAATTTTGGGGAGAAGATGATGCTAGGTGGTAGTTGAGATTACACTCTCAACAAAATCCTTATTTTATATGTAGCCTGCAGAGGCTTCAACCTACTTTTTTTCAGATCATTAGCCAATTTTTCCTAGATTCTAGGGTTTGCCCACAGACTAAAATACCACTTTTTGTGTGAAAATGTTAGGACCATTCTAGCATGCCTTGTCAGTTTAGAGTAGTATCTCAAATATGGATGCTGGATGCATAATGCATGCTATTACCGTCAATGTTTGTTTTGTGGCTTATAAGACACGGCCAAAATTTAAATTTTCAAACTTAATTTTACATTATTCTAGGCCTTTTTAATTGTTTTCTTATTTCCAGACATGGTTTTTAAACCGTTATGAGTAGAAATATAAATGTCCTGCCCTAAATTATGTTTCTCTGGCTCGTTTATTTTTCTTTTTCGCGGAGAAGGCCAAAGGAGGCCATCCGAATATATTAAGAAAAAGCGATAGAAAACTATTGAGGTCGGAAGTGCACCAAAGTGCACGACCAAGAACCACATGCCAACCACATAAGCACAACCCACTGAGAGAGGAACCAACCAAAATGATCTTAGCTATGCGTGGCTGATTGCCGCTGAGCCTACGACAACACCAGAAGACGAGACTCTGAAAACGATGCCCCCACGGAGGTCACGACATCAAGGACGCCGCCATCGTCCATCTATGGGAGATGTGGTTTTCACCTAGAGAAACTCGCCAAGGGAGAGAGAGGCGTGGTTTTCGCCTAGAACTCTGCAACCTTGCTTGAAATTCATTGCCCATCAGCTCAGAAACCACCGCACAGACAGTGGCAGCATGAGGCCTCCACCCCACCACCGGCCTACTTTCACACTTGTTGTTGTTCCCTGCCGCCACCCTTGGAAGCTGGCCCAGGCTTCCTCCGTCCCGCCACTCGCTGGCCTCCTCGCCATATTTGGCCAAAGGAGAACCCGGCCTGGATGGCGTCGTGTCGGCGGTCAGAGCTTCCCCCGTTAACCAGCTACCGCCTTAATCCAACCTAGAAACTCCCCAAGGAGAAGAGGAGGAGCTCCAAGAAGGGGCACTGCCATCGCTGCCTGCTCCAGCCAAGTCTGCGCTGGCATCACCACTGCCGTTCCCGGCCTCTCGATCACTGCACCGACGCTTGCGCCACCTTTTGAGCCGACCGGCTGCCGCGCCAACACTGGCACCACCATCACCGCACCTAGCTGCCCCTCTGCTTGGTCGTGCCTCCGTGCAGGCCGCTCTACTACCGCCGCACCCAGCCGCCCTAGCTGCACCACACCATTCCAGCGACGTAGTGGCGAGTTGCCACCCTGCCGCCGCGCAGCCAAGCCGCGCCACCACCGGCAACGCCACCTCTTGAGTCGCAGCTGAGGGCCCCTAGGCCACCGTCATCGCGCCGCCTGCCGCACAACCCCCGAGCCACCTGCGCTAGAGCGACGCGGGGAGGGAGGGGGGACGGGGATGCGTTACTACCCGGCCCTCTTTATTTTTTAGGGTTTATGAGCTGAAGCCAACCAATATGTGGTTACTTTAAAACATTTTCACTTTTGTATATCATTTTACCAATATAATTTGAGATTTCTTCACCATACTATCAGGTGTCATTTTACACGGAAGATCTTAATCACATTGCAGCTACATTCCATGCTTCTGCTCAAAGTTTTGCATCCATCCAAAATACAGTTCTTGAGGAGATAGATGTCAATGTGATTAAAGGCCTCATCGTTTCGCTTATTCGTGAAATAAGCCAAACAACATATTTGCAAACGAAAAGTAATTTGTGAATAAAACTTTTATATACATGTTCTTAACGATCTAAAAGTAAAGACTGAAAAATAAGATTCGATGAAAAAAAAAACCCAAAATCATCTCCATATTTAAAGTTAAAAATTCAAATTTTGGCTAATAAGCGTAAGCATAAACTCTTATCATTTGCAGAGTAAATGGCACATTAAATTCTTTGGATCTTAAACCAGATCCATGATGATTACGTTTTTCACGGACTGCGCTTTCATACCCCAGAGACGTACTGTTAGTACAAACCTGAATTTACCAGAACTGTCAATGGTCAACAACAACACAAATGGTAAAAAAAAAACACGGCAGTAAAAAAAAAGTTAATGAAACGTGAGCCCACTTAAATTGAGGAGGAGAGGTTCTCACTCTCGCTGCCCACTCTCCTCCTTCTCCGGCCGCCGCCGCCATCGCCGCCGGCCGTAGCATGGTTCTTGCTTGACTGACCTGAATAAACAGTAGGGGTGATGTCGATGGAGGAGGCGGAGGAGTGCTCGGCGGCGTGCGGCTTCTCGCTGACGTGCCAAGAAGACGGCGCCGACCTCGGCGACGGCGTGGTCGACGACGACGACGACGGCGACGTATTCTTGTTCTACAATGCCGTTGCGGCGGCGGACGACGAGGAGGAGGAGGAGGAGTACGTGGAGCAGATGGTCTCCAAGGAGGCTAGCTTCTGCTGCTCCTCTTCTTCCTCCCTCTTCGACGCCGCCGCCGGCGACGGCTACGGCGACGGCGACGGCGACGGGGACTGGTTCCGGCAAGCCCGCCTCGCCGCTGTCAAGTGGATCCTCGAAGTGAGCTCGATACCACTAGCTTAGCTAAGCTCGATTAGCTCTTGTTGATGCGAGAACAGGGTCGAACACCTGACACGCCATGGTTTGGTTTGCGTTGCAGACGAGGGGGTACTTCGGGTTCGGCCACCGGACGGCGTACCTCGCCATCGCCTACTTCGACCGCTTCTGCCTCCGGCGACGCGTCGATGTAATCTAGCTAATCCATCCATCCCTTCCCGCCGCGGCGGCGCCGCCGCCGCCGCCATTTTTGTTTCTTGGGAGCTCGCCGGTGACGTGGTATCTGTGTGTGTTCAGAGGGAGGCGATGCCGTGGGCGGCGCGGCTGCTGTCTATCGCGTGCGTGTCCGTGGCGGCGAAGATGGAGGAGTACCAGTCGCCGGCGCTGTCGGAGTTCGACGCCGGCGGCGGCCGCGTGTTCTGCTCGGACTCCATCCGCCGGATGGAGCTGCTCGTGCTGTCCACGCTGGGGTGGCGCATGGGCGCCGTCACGCCATTCGACTTCCTCCCCTGCTTCTCCTCCCGCCTCCACCGCCACCACCACGGCGGCGCCGGCGCCGCCGGCCATGGCGCCGCCGCCGCCGCCCGCGTTGCCCTCAACGCCGTCGGCTTCATCTTTGCCACAGCTGAAGGTACACACAAAAATCAGAATATTCTCTCTCTCTCTCTCTCTCTCTAAAAAATATCTGGCATCTGATTGATTTGTGTTCTTTGTTTGTTGCATTGTTCTGATTTGATTTGATTTGATTTTGATTTTGATTTGTGTTTGATGCAGCTGGAAGTGTGCTAGATTACAGGCCATCAACTGTTGCTGCAGCTGCAATCTTGGCTGCATCCTATGGAGCTCCACTGACAAAAGAAGCATTGGAGTCCAAGATGAGCAACCTTTCTCCATCTTGTCTTATTGACAAGGTCAGTCACTCATTCACTCACTCACTTCAATACATTTTAGAAGCAAACTAATAATAATTCCCAACATACATCAGTAGGATTTGAGCATCATTTGATGATGAAAATTAGATGTAATTAACTTTGATGTGTTTCTCAACATTGAGAATGTCAGTCAGACAGTCACTTGAATAATTTCAGATAGAACAGAAAAAAACTAATTCAAAGTAGTAGTTGAGCAACATTTGATTATGAAAATGTCGTTATAAATTAGATATGTAATTGACTTTGGTATGTGGTGTGATTTATGTTTCTTTGATCAGGAGAATGTACATGCCTGCTACAGTATGATGGTTGGGGACATGAACAACAACAGGAGGAGCAGCAAGCGACCATTGCAATGTTCAGACTCCAATGAGATTACCACCACCAGTACATATGATTCTGTTCTTGTTGATGATGTTACCGACACCGCCGCCTTCGCTGCGACGGCGATGAATAAGCGGCTCAGGCCAGAGCCGCCGCGAATCCGTTGAGGAAGCTAGCACCACCAGGGACACACAATTTTTAGTCAGATGTCTAGGGGGCGCTTGGTTTGGATCTTCTCCTTTTCCCCTTCTTTTTTTCTCCCTTTTTTTGACATAAGTTTCCAAAATATTTATTAGGTTCTTTGAGCCATTGCCATTGGTTGGCATTTGGCAAATGTTGTTGGATTGGATTGGTTTGGTTTGTGAGAAGGAGAAGAGATAATGAACAAAGGAAAAAAGGGGCTGAGTGAGCTCTCCTAAGGAGAGGAGAGCTTGAGTTACTTGAAGCCCCAAATTCCAGTGCCCAAATGGAGCACATTTCCTCTGAAAACTTTAGTCCAAAGCTGCACAATTTGAAATGCCATTGTGGATGCCATGTTTCATTGCACTGCATGTCTGCATATGGTGAAGATGCTGTTGCATGCAGAAGTTGCAAAACCAGCAGCAGTGTTCAGAAAAAGGTTGGCCATTGTTTATACAGCCTCTCTGTTATTTTTTTCCCTCTCTTCTTGCAAGTGGATGATGTGTGAGAGAGTGTGGGGTTTCACTCAGCTGCACTGCACTTGCATGGGGTTACTATACCACATTGGTTTTTGTTACAAGCTATGCCATATTGGATTGGTTGTCACTGTAAGCTTCTGTAACCAGTAACCCTCTCCCTGTTCTTGAGAAATGAAATCTGATTTCATTTGGTGTATATGCATGCATGTCTGTGACCTAGCTCCCTGTGGGTTTCTTGATCAGTTCTGTTCTGTTCTGCAGCTGCAGCTGAAAATTTCCAGTGCCATTCATTCATTCATTCAGTTTCTGGTCCACTGTTTTTCTCCTCTTCCTCTCCCTGTCAGAAGTGAGAATCCAATGCAAACTTTTCCCTGTTACATTGCACAACCAGCTTGCACTTGCTTGATTCCACAAAGGCATGGGTAATCCCCACTGTTACAGTACTTCCATTATAAATGTCCAAACAAGAACATGGCATAGTTTTCATTGCAAAAAAATTTTTTCACAGTAATTTAAATGAAGAGATGATCTGTAAAGAAAAGAAAGCTCTTTTGTCAAACATGATTGATAAGTACACTGTCTCCTTCTGGTAATAATTGTGTATCAGCTGTGTTTGCTGTTGTTGGAAGGGGTGACAAATGTTGCTTATGAGGGTATTAGAGTACAAGATACATGAGATTACTTTACAACAATAATTGCATGAAGATTAGCATTTGGGTGATGTAACTCCTAACCACTGTGTTTAGTCTGGGGAACTACTTGAGCTTGATATTTCTGGCACTTACTAGTTGAAGCACAGGACAAAGGAGAGTTCAAATGAAGAGACAACACGAGGCAAGTGTTAATTAGAAACCAAGCTAATGTCACTGCAACATCTAACTAAAATAAGAGTACTTAGATGTATATAGTATAGTACTTTCCATTGAAAGACTTCAGTTTCTGGGATGAGATGGTTAACACAATAAGATAGCCCACCTGTTCTTCAATTAAGATAACTCTAACTATATTAAAACTAATCTCTTCGTAGAGGTTTTTCGTCAGTTTTCTTTTAATTAACCGTGCAGCGGTAAGGTTTTAGGGCTGGTTTCCCTTAATAAACCGGGTCAATTCTTTTCTTCTATAATAAAAAACCAGGAACTCCCTCCTCCTTTTCGGAGGTTTTTTTTAACACTAAAACTACACTCTCAGTTGATGACAATGCAAACCAAGGAACAGGAGGCTTGAAATGTGCCACATGCCCTAGCAGAAAAGATGAAGCAACACACATGCTGAAATATTATTACTTTCTTGGATACAATAATAATGATTATCCTTTACATGCACAGAGAGGTGCCCTTAAGCCCTAACCCTCTAAAGTTGGGTCTTCTGGGTTCATCCACTAACTAATGCAGGTCTTACATTGCTGCACACTGCCTTACAGCTGGTAAAAAGAGCTTTTCTCTTTCTCCTGCCTGCCCTGCAAACTGCAGCTGCATGCACTCAGGCAATGAAAATGCCCCCATGGGCAATGCAATGGAGTGACTTTCTGAAGCCACACCACCACCATCTTCTGAATCTCTGAACCTGATCAATGCATGCTTGCTCTATGCTAGCTTGCATTGCAGCTCCTCATCTTTCTCTCTCATTCATGTGGCCTCATGGCTTAGTTTTCTTGCTTCGATGGACAGATGTTGCTTAGCTGATAAAATGAAAAAAAAAAGGATTCCTTGCTTAGTTGCATTGAAGCATGGTCACTAATGCTGATGCTGCTCTCAAGCACTGTTCTTTTTGTGTGTTGAGTAGTTTTTGTGCTGGCAGGTGCATGGAAAGCTGAACTCAAAATTAGTACAAAAATTGAGAGGTTTTAGGCATGTCTGGCTGGTTCAAATTGGATATGTTTAATCAATGTGTCATGTTTGTGCCATGAGGGTCCCAAGATCGAGAGGAATTGGGTCTAGACTTTTAGAACATCTTGGGTCAGGTCTGGTCAAACTTGAAATCGAGGCATCGATTGACAAAAGAATTTAATTTGGTGCCATCTCAAAAAGATCAAAATTAATTAGCTCTTGTCATTTCCTAGTCACCCAATATTTAATTAAATAAGAAGATATTTCAATTAGTATTTTCCATAAGCACATAATTTGAAACAAATTTGACTATGTGGTGCTTATTATGCTCAAAATCAAGTTTTGTGGCTAGATAGATACAAATGCTGATCCAGAGTGTCATTAAAACCTAAGATCACAGCCATGAGAACCTTCATATGTGACAGTAGTTAGGCTATTACTAAAGTTTTGCACACATATCAAGACCTGATTCCTTGATACCAAAAGAGAGAGAAAAATGCATTGGTTTTCATCCTCTCCAATCCAGTGGCGAAGCTAGAGCAAAATAGAGGGTGGTGCACCACTATAGTAGCGATATACTACCATGTTCGAAAATGATATACGTACGACCTACCATGTTTTATCAAAGAACATTATGGTAAACAATACTAAAACCATTGATTTCAGTATCTACATTAACATGAACGAGTGATATAAGAACGAAAACTTAGCGGTAAATTATAAAACTACTTGCCAAAATAGGAATTCCCAATGACGATAGTTATCAGCGCAGTGTACTGAAGAAGTTAAGATTAAAATCACAACCAATAGGTTGCCAAAACTGGAGAACTACTCGTCCAACATCAGCATCTCAAGAAAAAAAAGACAAAACAGCTTAATTTTTCGTTTGAAATTATCGAAAAAATGGAATGAAACTATGAAAGCAAATTGCAAAACTTTCTTTTGACGTCACCCCTTGCCTGCTACGATTAATAGGTGATAAGACCATAGGCTGCGGCTGGCCACCGAGTGCATTCTGTTTCACCGTGAAGTAGTTAACAACGCTGTTATGCAGGGCAAATTTGTCAACAAAACATGCTGCACCACAAGAAAATCCTCATGGCTGTGCACTTCTCTGTTGGCCTTGTTACCTTTGCTCGGCCTGATGGTCTGCTTGAGGGTACACATTGTTGGGATGAGAGGGTGCATATATGGTGGAGATGGGGTAACCATAGCTAAAACTTTTCTCTTAGCCGGATGCCTAGGAACCCCCATAGTTGTATGTAGCTTCGCCCCTGCTCCAATCTACATCCATCTTATGAAACCTCAGATCGAGCTGGTCAAGAAGACCGGAGAAAAAAAATATATTTGCAAGTCCAACTGAAGTAGATCAAATCAACATGTTTAGAAGATTTTCTCGAACTAATCAACTGTACAATGTTAAGATGACCAAACAAAAGATAAACTATAATACATGGTTCAACCAATCGATGCATCTGATAGCTTGTATCTAAAGTGTTACATGATAATATACTATTATCCTCTCTCCTTCTGAATCTAGATTGTTCATGAATAGAGATAGAGATCATATGGTTGCTGTTGGGTGAATAGAAATCAGAATCCAGAAAGGTTAAAAAAACCCTGCATAGCTTCTCAGTCACCAATGCAGTCAAAAACAGGCTTGGAGACAAAGCTTGGTTAAAATTTTGTTGGTTCAAAGGAGTACCACCTAGAAGTGAGTGGGCACCTCACTGGCTTGGCCGGCTGCCTGGCCCTATCAAAGCACAAACAATTTTTTTAAGAGCAAGAATTATAATAACAATAAAAACTCCATATTTCAGTAATTTTATACAAACGAAAACAGCGACTTATCGTCAGCGAAATGCTTCCTATATTCCAACAGAGCCATAATATTTCTTGCATTTTTGTTACCATTTTTCACAATGTGCATATGTACTAGTAGTATGGAAATCACTGAATGCTACATGTAAAAAATGAAAAAGGAAAGCTTACACAAAGGGTAGAGAGCCCTAAGATTTCTTGCATTTTCTTTTTAACATCTGACAAAATGTGTTTATGTGCTACTAGTACGAAAATCACTGATCAATGTTACATGCAAAAAAAAAAGAGGAAGTCTTTGCAAAGTGTAAGGAGAAGGATGAGGGAATGGCAGTTGGAATGTGTACAGCTGTGAGTCCTCAACTGAAAGCCTGAAACAAAGATGGTCTGCTTGCATCAATGGCAGGCAGGCAGGCACAGGTGTGGCCCTATCTAGCTACAAGCTAGCATCACAAGCATTGCACTCTCTCTACTGCAGAAGCAGACCATGTATTTGGAGTGGATGTGTGGTCTAAAGACTACAAACCTGCACAAAGACAAAGAAGCCAACACAAAGATATCTTCCCATGCATCACACAACACACAGTAGCAGCTGCAACACAGGCAATAACAACACATATCCTGATCTGGTCAAAGGAACTCACTCATATGGCTTTGTTTTCTATTGCTTGTTTTGGTTTCTTATGCTGGGCTCTTTGCTGGTGAAATGTGATGATCTGTCCCCTGAGGAATTTAGTCCTGTAGTATGTATGGCATTTGCAGAGATGGGGTAATTCTCTGATGTACTGTCTACTGTGTGGTCTCAATCTCACCGCACCCTAGGCCTAGATTGATGTTAAACTGGTTGTAATCTGTCTAATTACTCTTTTCATTTTGGCCGATTCAAGTGAATTTTGTTCAAATAGGCTTAATTGAAGTGTTTTAGTAACTCAGTCTAAATCTGTGTTCTATACTCCCTCTTCCTAACTTCTACTCTCATTTTTTCGTACGTGTGCTTCCCTAAATGTTAAACGATGTATTTTTATGCAAAAAAAAAACTATAGAAAAGTTGTTTAAAAAATCATGTTAATCTGCTGCTTCAAAACTATAGAAATCTCGTTTTTCAGGTATTTTAGCTAATAATTATAACTATAGAAATCTCGTTTTTCAGGTATTTTAGCTAATAATTATTTAATTGTATGATAATCTGCTGCTTCGTTTTGCGTGCCATGTAGGGAGAATTCCCAACCCATGATGTCGAACTCAGCCTAAATGAAGTGTGCAAATTTTACAGTAATTTGAAAAATGTTGGCCATTTTGGAATAGGAATTTCATTGGATAATAATTCAAATCCTATAATCCGTATTGCAAACAGGACTTTCATTTGCAATGAATTGCCGTTCACTTGTATTTTGAATTATTCTGAATCCAATTCTCGGCCTTCAAATTAAAATCGCCTTGCTGATAATTTGACTATTTTAAAATATCAAATCCACTCAAACGGCAACATAGCGATAGCATTGTTGGTTGATATTATTGGTTAACTGCCGATAAGAATTAGGAGGAGATAAAA